ACTCAACAAACCTTAATATAATATTTGGGTAGGTACTATTATCAATTGTATATCCATACAACTCCCAGATCATTAAACTAACAACTCTTTGTCTTCACACATCTTATGTGTTGGCTTAACATGCCTCTAAAATTTATCTCTTTGAGTGTACTCAATAAAAGATAAATTTTAGTTAAGTCGAACCCATCATTCAAAAATATCCAATATGTTATAGTGTCAAACATATCCCTAATAGACCAGCTTTGAGTGTACTCAACAAGTTGGGATGATTTGGGACTCTGATTTTTCACTATAATGATGGAAGGCAATTATAAATGTGTCTTAATATTTTGTTGAGGGGTTTTGTATTTAAAAGTCTCATCGTAGCAATCATATATGTTATATTACACCTCTACCATGCAAATAAACACATATATAATATAATGTAATAGTATGGAAAATTATTGACTTTTCTATCTAATCTTCCCGAGCCATAAGAAAATCTAGTTGGTTAATTCCTAGGGGTTATCGCATTGATCAGTATCAATGCACCATCTTCATGATTTTCTCCTCTCCGCGTGTCTTCAATTAGTCCAGCTGCAACCTGTCTTATATACTAATTGGCACGCAAGCCTAAATGAAATTGGACTCCCAGGCCCATAGTTACAATAACAATAACGGACTTGCAAGTCCAAAATAATGACAATAATAACGGGTTCGCAGGCCCAAAACAACTAAGAACTCACAGGCTCACAAAACAACAAGAGTAAAATTAACCATTTAAAACATCCATATGGTCGAGTCCATAGTCGTCCACTAATAATGCATTTACATAAATGTATTCTTATATAATATCTAATATTATATGCAAACATGTTTCAAGTTTCCAGCAATTAAGTTCGTCGAAACTCTTTTAGACAAATAGATCGGAACAATTAAATATTTAAACAATCATATTAATCAATTAATTTAATTAACGGGCATATTTAATTGAAATCAAAATTTAATTAAATATCGAATTAGAGTCCAACTCAAATTCCACAATTATAAGGCGGGATTATTTAATTAAAATCAAATTTTAATTAAATATCAAATTAGAGTCCAACTCCAATTTCATAACTTAAGGCGGTTGAATTTAATCAAAATTAAATTTTTATTAAATAACGAAAGTAGAGTCTGACTCAAATTCCAAGATTTCAGGGCGAATATATTTGAAAAAAATCATATTTTAATTAAATATCAAATTAGAGTCCAACTCTAATTAGAACAAATTTTAGGGCAGGACAAATTAATTAAAATCAAATTTTAATTAAATGTCAAATTAAAATTCAATTCTAATTTCTAGAATATATCCGGGTGAATAATTAATTAAAATCAAAATTTAATTAAGTACTAAATTAGAGTCCTTCTCTAATTTAAATTGAATCAATATTTTAATTTAGGATAATACTCCTAAATAAAAAAAATTCAATTTAGGGTCAAAGTTTAATATTTAAATTAAAATCAAATTTTAAATATAATATAAAGTCGTCAATTTTAATTTGGATCAAAAATTAAAATTTATAGGTGAAACCCATTAAAATACAATTTTAAAATCATTTTAAAATTCAAAAAAACCTTTTGGAAATTGCAATTTGACCCAGGTTTAGAATTATAAACAGTCCCCTCCAACTTCTTAAATTATAAAAGGCCTCCATTTTATTATTTACAGAACGGACCCCTGAAATGAAATTGCAAGTAGGGGTCCTCAATATCAAATATTGGAAAACATGACCCTAATTCAAAATTAGAAGTTGACCCCCATACAATATTGCAAGAGGGGGCCTAAAATTTCAAAAATTGCAAACGAGGCCCCCGCCTCCAATTCACCCAAAACGCGACTGAAAATCCTAGATTCAATTTTTTTTTCTTTCTTTCTCCGGCGGCGCCGCAATGGCAATGCCACCACCCATAGAGGGGAAGAGCCACGCGGCTCTTCCCAGCAGCGGCAGATGCTGCTGCCAGCGGTGTCCGCTGCCGCTTTTGGTAGCGGCAGATGCGGCTGCTACTCTTAGCAGCAGCATCTGTCGTGCCGGTAGCCGTTAGCAGCGTCGCCATCGCAGGCAGCAACTGTTGCTGCCGGCATCCCACCCCATTTTTTTCATTATTATTCCAATCCAAAATAATATTCTTTTCAATACTAATTTTGAAAACTGAATTAATTGCTAGAAACAATGAAACGAACAAAATCAACTTTTGATTATGCCCACAAATTCAAAATAAACTCTAACAAACACAAAGTAGATTCTGATATCACTGTTGGGAATCTACTTAACATGCGCAGCAGAAAATTAAAATAGATTTCGATTCCCACCAGGAATCTCTTTGTGTTTAGATAGAAATTGTGAAAAGATTGTACATTTTCTAGATTTGCAAACTTTTTTACTATTCTTTTCGTTTCAGCAATCTTTATTCGCCACCCACAACTTTCCAATTGTCCAGCCTCCAACGGTGATCCACACAGAGATCAGATTGCAACTACCAGAGTTTTCTTCTCTTGTGCTAACAAGAAATTATGAGAAAACTTTATAGATTGAAAACTCTAGCTATGTATTTATATAAGTCCAAACGGGCCTAGCCTAGCCTGGTCCGATCCAATATTTAATTAATCCATTTAATTAAATTCGGCCATTGAATTAATTAATCTAATTAATTAATTCAGGTCTACAAATAATCAACACAATTAATTAATTTATCCAACGATTGTTAAATTAATTAATCGATCAATTGCAATCTTTCAATTCTTTTTTATGTGCGACCCATCAGGTTTCCGATCACGATGCCTAACGACGAGCTTGGCCTTGTCCAATCCAATATTTAATTAATCCATTTAATTAAATTCGGTCTGTGAATTAATTAATCCAATTAATTAATTCGGATCAATAAATAATTAACCTAATTAATTAATTTATCCAACGATTATTAAATTAATTAATTGATAAATTGCAATCTTCCAATTCTTTTTTGTGTATGACCTCTCAGGTTTCCGATCACGATACCTAACGACGTGAAGTATTATTTTAATCTAATCAAAATTGATAAATTAAAACACCATTTTAATTTATCATCAATTTACACTCGTCATCCCAGATTGACATCTAGCAATATGTCAAGGCAATACATGTGATGAGGAATGTCATGTGGTATGACAAAACCAAACTCGTTCGTTTACTGTGAAATTATAATCCCTTCGTCAATATGATCCAATCAGTTACGAGATATGGAAGTGTGTCAATCCCGAATATCGATCATATCTTTCACTCCACTATTAAAACAATATAAGTCGAAAACTCCCTTTCGACTTATAAGTACACCTTGGCCAAGGATTTCGTTATCGACTTAATTGAATGAAATGCAGATCATAATCTCTTACTATCTAAGAGTGACGAATCGTCTATTAGTCATTCACAACCTTCATATGATTCTTGACATACCCGAACGATGCCGTATTAGCGACCCTTGGTAGAGCAACATCCAACATCGTCAAAGCATGACCGTCCTCATATAAGGTACTATGACGACCTCAAGTCAAAAGGACTAATCCCACTACCGAACGTTAGAGATTAACCACTGACACTCAAATAGTTATCCATGTAAAATCTCTCAGCGGGTCTCCAATTTTTGTTCTATAACAAAACATCCACGTGTTCATTTAAGTGTCACCACACCTTCGCTTGTAAGATCAGCTACTTACTTCACAAGTAAGAAATGTCATACGTGATGGTCTATCCGTAATAACAATATCCGTATCTTGTTGTTATTTACGACCACAGACGATTTAAGATTCAATCGTATGTAATTTATATCTCACAATCACAACTCCTTGTGATTTGTTATGAAAATTTGAATCTACGGACTCTATTATTTAATTTAATTTTCTATTAATTAAATAATAAATCTGCCATTAAGTTGCATTGATTATATATCAAAAGTATTTATGTCCAAGGTTGATTGGATCCAGGGCATAACACTTACAGAGTATACTGTCGGCACTACATCACTGAGTGACATCCACCAGAGTATTAGTACAAGATGCAAATAGTGGCATACCTTAAGTAGAAGATACAGTGACATCTGCTAAATTTCTTAGTTAGCCCTTTCCGATATTCGACTTAAATTACAGTCTTTTAGTTTGAGAATGCTTAGTCGCTAACTCTACGGCAATATAGGCTCGATAGTTCTCGTATGATCGGACTTGAGCTTAATATTCTGATTTGAGCTCTTTGCCTAAACCTTTACTTAGATCAACTTTCTACATAGTTAGACAAAATAAAATTTCTGCACTCAAAAGATAGTCATCAAAATAGAGCAGGAGGAATATTCTTTGTGGTCCAATGCAAAATGTGTTTAGGAATATTACATGATATTACCATATTGCCCCTAATTAAATACAGAGGGACCAAAAGCATTTATGTGGAACATTATCATCCATGCAGATAATTACAGCCCACAAACTGCAGCAAGAAATTATTATAGAAGGGATTAACCATTGAAAAGTCATTACCAAGAAATGAATCAAAGCAATACTATATTCAAGACCCAAATGCAACATTATGGATTACAAACTTTACGCAACATGTTTGGTAAAAAGTATTAGACTATAGAGAGCCATGTTGAGACGAGTGCGGGCATATTTTTAGGCCCAAACCATTTCCATTTTTCCCCCTTTAGCAGCAGGGAAGGTGGAAGAAAAACATGTTTTAATTTACATGGGTTTTATTTTTAGACCCAAACCCATGATCTTGTTTTATAGTTTTATCATTATTAAATTCACGATCAAAACTCAGTATTCGACGTTGATTAAATTATGCCCGCATTGAACAAATTTCTTGGCTCCGCCCCCACGTGATCAAACATGCAACAATAATTTACACGACTCCGTCGTCCATACTGATACCACGCAGCAGTATAAGGTATATTATATAGTCAGAAATGAATGTGAAACAAACACGTGCCCGCGCATGAACACATAAATAACTTACAGAGGAGAGCAACAGAGTGACCAGCTCCAGCTGAGATGAGAAGCACTCTACGAATTGATCCGGTGCCATCACTGCTACTGCTATGCATTCCACTTCCTTCTTCCATCACTCTCTCTCTCTCTCTCTTTGGAGAATTTTATCAAACACTTTGAATTCAGAATAGAAAGGAAATGATATTTTTAGGTATCTTCTTAACTCAGTTATACTTGAAAGCGATGACATGAGGGAGATCTATACCAAATTGGCGGAAAAGTAAAACTATTAGTTGTACGTGATGACTTTATTTCCCATAAAAAAATGTCCTTTTTTTCACCTAACCCCTATTAGATATAATTTTAAATTTTAATCTTAATTTAAATTAAAGTCAAAAAATTATTTTAACCATATTTTCATGGGATTCACAAATTTTTTAACTACACATTTCATCAATTTTTATTAAAATTTACCAAAAATATTATTTTAATTTCTATCAAATAGTGAGCCTAAGTTCCTACTTATAGAATATTTGATTAACATTTTTTCATGAAAAATATTTTTTAAAAATTCACCATGTAACTTGAAAATTGTGTCAATCAAACATATTTACTTAACAGTTCACTTACAAATAAGTTCTAGGTAATTAATTGACTTTATTTTCTTTTCATACAAGTTTTTTTTGGTATCCACAACTTTTAAATAACGGATTTATCAACTTTTATCAAATTATACTAAATAATTGATTTTAATTCCCATCATATAGAAGAAAATTTCAAATTCATCATTTAAAGCATTTCTGTAAGAGCATCTTCAAAAAACTCTCAAGTTTTAAAGAACACAAATTTTACAATTTAGAAAACATCTATAAATTTATAGAGTAAAAAATTTTAAGTACTACAATTCGCTCTTTGTATGTAATACTTAATTTTACTACTACCAAAAAATATTTATTATTTTTTCCTATATTTTATTTTTACTAGCTTTCCTTCAAATTATTAGATTATTTTCTTCCATTAAAAATTAATATACTTTGAATGTATTTAATTGTAAGGAGTCGATTTTGGAAAGTCAAACTCATTCTCCGAATTAATATGTTAATTGGAGCACAATTTTAAGAGTTCATTCTTTAAAATAGAGAATATCTTATGTTTAAAGAGTGTCTTGAAAAATGCTCTAATCCAATTCCAATAATTGATCATTCTGTTAACCTAATTAACACTACATTCAACATAGTTGTTAAATTTTTCACTTCAACTTTAATGTTAATACGATTTAGTCCTTGCAACGAGTCTCAAATAGAATTATTCGAGATTTCTTGGTTTAACACAGAGTCATATTTATATAAGGATCCATTTTACTTGGAAATTATTTAATTTCATGATATGGACAAAAACTCTCAAGATTTAAGGCTTCAAATACATGGCCTGACTTTTAAGATTGCAAATTTAACATCGTTCAACTTCACAAATTTCTCGTTTCACTTAATTTTCAGCCACGATTAATGAAATTTACTCAAAACAATTAATACCACGTTTTTATATTCACTACCATGAAATGGACCCTTTAAAAGTAATGCTACTAATTAATAGCACAGGACACTGCGGTAGTTTAGAATTTATATTTCAATGTTT